TCCCAAAGTGCTGGCATTACAGGCGTAAGTCGCTGCAGTTGGCCTAGAGTTTTAATTCAGTAGGTTTATGGTGGTGGTTGATAATTTGCATTTCTACAAGTTCCTAAGTAATGTTCATCAGTGAGAACCATGACCCCAGAACTTCTACTGTATATAATGAATTAACTTCTCCCTTATGCAGCTAGAATGCTACTAGTTATATAACAGCCCTGGAAAGATTGAAATAATAATCACAAATTACTTTCTGCATTCTGTAGTTAAGATGAGGAACCATAATGAGGAAACACTGAAGGTGTCAGTGGTCCATGACAGCAAGTATCATAGCTATGTCGTTCATGATTGAATCACCAGACTCTAGCACAGGTCAGACATTCAACCAATATTCATTGACTGAAAGACTGGCAAGTTCTATGGTACAGTCAGGGGAGTGAGCCACTCATCTAGAAGTGTTTATCACTGAAGAACCCATCAAAAACCCATGAGACTATAAAGTTTGTGATCCTCCACAAAGGCAATAAAATCTTTCACTATCACAGCTGGAATTAGGGTAGAGAATATCACTGTGAAGCAGGTGTCAAAGTATAAAATAGAAGTGGGATCATACGGTAGATTTACTTGTAGTTTTTTGTGGAACCGTCATACTCTTCTCCCTAGTGGGTATGTTAATTTACATTCCCACCAACAGCGTTTTAAGTGTTCCCTTTTCTACACATCCTCCCCAATATCTGCCATTTTTTGTCTTTTTAATAGTAGCCATTCTAAATGGGGTGAGATAGTATCTCATTGTGGTTTTGATTTGCATTTCTCTGATAATTAGTGATGTTGACCATCTTTTCATAGGTTTGTTGGCCATTTGTATGCCTTCTTTTGAGAAATGTCTGTTCAGATCATTTGCCCATTTTTAAAGATTGGATTGTTTGTAGCTGTTAAGATGTTTGAGGTCCTCGTATATTCTTGATATTAGTCTCTTGTTGGATGAATAGTTTGCAAATATTTTCGCCCATTCACCAGGTGGTCTATTCACTCTGTTGATTGTTTTCTTTGCTGTACAGAGCTTTTTTAAATTTGATTTAATCATATTTATTTTTGCTTTTGCTACCTGTGCTTTTGAGGTCTCATTCATAAATCCTTCCCCAGACCAACATCCTGAAGCATTTCCCCTATGTTGTCTTCTAGTATTTTTATAGTTTGGGGTCTTACATTTAGGTCTTTAATCCATTTTGTGTTGCTTTTGTACAAGGTGAGAGATAGGGGTCTGGTTTCATTCTTCTGCATATGACTGTCCTGTTATCCCAGCACTATTTATTAAAGAGACTATCCTTTCTCTCAATGAGTTGTTCTAGGCACCTTTGTAAAAATCAGTTGATTATATACATATATTACTTTCTGGGTTCACTATTCTGTTCCATTGGTTTATGTGTCTGTTTTTTATGCCAGGACCATGTTGTTTTTGTTACTAAACCTTTGTAGCATATTTTGAAATCTCGTAGTGTGATGCCTCCAGCTTTGATATTTTTGTTCAAGATTGCCTTGGCTGTTCAGAGTCTTTTGGGGTTCCATGCGAATTTAAGGATTTTTTTGTTTACCAGTGGATATTTATCCAATGGAAAGGAAATTCATATATCAAAGAGATGTCCTATATTTATCACAGCAGTATCCACAATAGCTGAGATATGGAATCAACCCAAGTGTTTGACAGCAGATATGAATGGATAAAGAAAATGTGGTATATACACACAGTGGAGTATTATTCAGCCATAAAAAGAATGAAATATGGCTAGGAGTGGTGACTCACGCCTATAATCCCAGCACTTTGGGAGGCTGAGGCAGGTGGATCACAAGGGCAAGGGGTTGAGACCAACCTGAACAAGAGGGTGAAACCCTATCTCTACTAAAAATACAGAGAGAGATCCAAGATGGCTGATCAGTAGCAGCTCAGGATTGTAGCTCCCACTGAAAGCGCAGAGAACGAGAGGACGCCACACTTTCAGATCAACTTTTGTTGCTCACGCACCAGGAGATTCCCAGCGGAGGAGCCCCACGGGTCACCAGCGCGACTCTTGTGGCTGGCGAGGTGGTTTTGCCGCTGCCTTAGTGCAGTGGTTCTTGGTGCAGAGTCAGAAAAGCACCATCAATCATAACGCCACTGTTTTGGCCGGCGCAGTGGGTTGCTCAGATTTTAGCACCAGAAATCAACAAGTTGGACGTCCATTCAGAAACCCAACTATAAAGACAGTAATTATAAAGACCACAGATGGATAAATCTATAACAAAGGGAAGAAACCAGCCTAAAAAGGCTGAGAATACTCAAAATCAGAACGCCTCTCCCTCTACAGGGGATCACAGTTCCTCATCAGCAACAGAACAAGGCCTGATGGAGAAAGACTGGGTTCCATTAACAGAAGCAGGCTTTAAAAAGTGGATGATAAGAAACTTCTGGGAATTAAAAGAACTTGTTGTAACCCAATGCAAGGAAACTAAGAACTTTGAAAAAAGGTTTGATGAAATGTTAACAATAATACACAATTTAGAGAGGAATATAAGTGAATTAATGGAGCTGAAAAACACAACACGAGAACTTCGCGAAGTATGCACAAGTTTTAACAGTCGAATCAATCAAGGAGAAGAAAAGATATCAGAGGTCGAAGACCAACTTAATGAAATAAAACGAGAAGACAAGATTAGAGAAAAAAAGGATAAAAAGGAACGAGCAAAGTCTCCAAGAAATATGGGACTATGTGAAAAGACCTAATCTACGTTTGATAGGTGTACCTGAATGTGACAAAGAGAATCAATCCAAGCTGGAAAATACGCTTCAGGATATTATTCAGGAAAACTTTCCCAACCTAGCAAGGCAGGACAATATTCAACTCCACGTAATACAGAGAACACCACAAAGATATTCCTCAAGAAGACCAACCTCAAGGCACATAATCGCCAGATTCACCAGGGCTGAAATGAAAGAGAAAATACTGAGGGCAGCCAGAGAGAAAGGTCAGGTTACCCATAAAGGGAAGCCTATCAGACTCACAGCAGATCTCTCAGCAGAAACCCTACAAGCCAGAAGTGGGTGGGGGCCAATATTCAACATCCTTAAAGAAAAGAACTTTCAACGCAGAATTTTACATCCAGCCAAACTAAGCTTCATAAGCGAAGGAAAAATAAAATCTTTTGTGAACAAGCAAGCACTCAGAGATTTCATCACCATCAGGCCTGCTTTACAAGAGCTTCTGAAAGAACCACTACAAATAGAAAGGAACAACCAGTATCAGCCTTTCTAAAAAATACCAAAAAATAAAGAACATCAACATAATTAAGAATTTGCATCAACTAATGGGCAAAACAGCCAGCTAACATTAAATGGCAATATCAAACTCACATATATTATTATTAATTCTAAATTTAAATCGACTGAATCCCCCAATCCAAAGACACAGACAGGCAAAAAAAGCCAAGACCCATTGGTATGCTACGTCCAGACCCATCTCACATGCAAGGATACACAAAGACTCAAAACAAAGGGATGGAGAAAATTTTACCAACCAAATGGAGAGCAAAAATAAATAAATGAATAGAAAGCAGAAGTTGCAATTTTTGCTGATAAAATAGACTTTAAAGCAACAAAGATCAAAAGAAGCAAAGAAGGATATTACATAATGATAAAAGGATCAATGTAACAAGAAGAGCTAAAGATCCTAAATATATATGCACCCAATACAGGAATACCCAGGTATATAAGACTTATAAAGAGACTTAGACTCCCACACAATAATAGTGGGAGACTTCAACATCAATATTAGACAGATCAATGAGACAGAAAGTTAACATCAGTATCCAGGACTTGAACTCAGATCCAGAACAAGTAGACTTAATTAACATTTATAGAACTCTCCACTTTAAATACACAAAATATATACACTCTTATCAGTACCACATCACACCTATTTACAGGTTTAAATGAAATATTGGTTGGCTGCTTGTTAGTTATTTTCTTCCCTCATTTTTTTTTCATGTCTCTATTATTAAACACAATTACAGGCATACCCATTTTTAGACTGCATTTTAGCCCGGACAATAAAGCAACACCCCTGTTCTCTCTCCCTCTTCCTCTTCCTCTTTCTTCCTCTCCTTCATTCTTTTTTTTTTCTTCTTTTTTTTAATTCTTTCTTTTTCTTTCTTTCTTTCTTCTTCTAAAAAAAAAAAAAGAAAGAAAGAAAGAAAAGAAACCAAAGAAGGCCAGATTCTTCTCAGCCTCCCTTGCTGCTAGGTATTTGCCAGCAGAAGCATCTGGCCCAGCAGCTAGAGTGATCACATGGATGCTGTTGTGAGGGTCGGGCAGCACCAGGTTTCCAGAGGCAGCACCAGGCCCAAGTCATAATGTTGGCTCCGCAAGCTGCACAGTCAATGCCCAGTGGCAGCAGCAGGATCTTTATGAGTCTTTTGGCTGCCTCGTTTGAAGTTATGTGGCCTCTCAGTCTGGTTCTCCAGTCTTCCCAGAGATGCTGTGAGATACCCAAGCTCCTTTAACTCGTTGCTTTTCAGCTTGAGTATCTGGCATTGGGTTATGTTGCTTGCAAATAAATCTCATTGCTGCTGCATTGGATACTGTGCTGGCAGCTGGGATATAGACATGAATAAGGCTTGATTCCTGCTCTCAAGGACTCTCTGTTTAGCAGTGGTAGTGAGGCAACATCTAAACAAAGTCACCTTACATTTACCTATTCAACTAACTTTTGAACTTAGGCTTCCAAGAGAATAGTTGGTAAATGTCTCTTCTAGGACCTTAAAAAATAAATAAATAAAATAAAAAATTAAAAAATTAAAAATACAAAAATTAGCTGGGTGCAGTGGCACGTGCCTGTAATCCCAGCTACTCAGGAGGCTGAGGCAGGAGAATTACTTGAACCCGGGAGGCAGAGGTTGCAGTGAGCCGAGATTGTGCCATTGCACTCCAGACTGGGCAACAGAGCAACACTCCATCTCAAAAAAAAAAAAAAAAAAGAAAAAGAAAAAAGAAAAATTCTGTCATCTGCAGCAACATGGAGGATATTATGTTAAGTGAAATAGGTCAGGAACAGAAAGTTGAACACCACATGTACTCATATGTGGAAGCTAAAAATGTTGATCTCATAGAAGTAAAGAGTAGAACAGAGGTTACTAGAGGGTGAGAAGGTAGGAGGAAGGGAAGGATATATAGAGATTTGCTAAATAATAATAAATTACAATAGATAGGAATAATAAGTTCTAGTGCTCTATAGCACTATAGGATGACTATAGTCAATAATAATGTATTATATATTTTCAAATAACCAGAAGAAAGGATATTGAAAGTTTCCAACATAAAGAAACAATAAATGTTTGAGATAATGTATATGCTAATCACTCTGATCTGATCACTGTATGTTACACATTGAAAAACCACTATGTACCCCATAAATATGTACTGTGTATCAATTAAAAAATTGTTTTAAATGGAAGTGAAAGAATAACCTGGACACTGATAAATGACATTGGTAAGGAAATGAGTGATAATTCCTGCTTGTTTGAACTTCAAAAATGAAGGGAATCTTGCATGAGGATGGAGGAATAATGGTTTGGAAGTTGTCTATGGAAAGCATGACTAAACCAGAATATGTCAACATATGGTACATTCAATTGTATCTTGCTTTTTTGGTAAGGAAAAATAACTTAATACAGTACTAAGAATTTACCCACATCACCAAAAATTACTTGTGTACATTTTCTCTGTCTGTACATTTTTGTAATTTCCTCCATATACATCCTCTTTCTTTCATGCATATTTCTTAAGGTCATTTCTGATTGTTTATGAGTTTGCTCCTATTACAAATGGTACATATTTCTCCATATAGCTTCTAATTGATTATTGCGATGTGTTGTTGCCTTTAAATTTGTTATTCTTTGACTTCTCCTTTGAACTGGTTGTAATACTTTACATTTTCCTCATTAAGGAGTAAAATAAAATCTTTAACATATGTTTATTTTTTATCTATGTAAGAGTCAAAATCTTGCTTTTTAAAAATTATTTTAATACTTGTAATGAATTGTTACTGTCCTATATTATTGAATTCAATTTCATAGAATTCCATGTACATATTTTGCATCTAAATTTACAAATTGGATAGAATACTCTTTCTTAGAGCAGTCTGTCAGGTTTTGGTATCAGAGTAATGCTAGCTTCAAAAACAATGTGAAGAATTCTGCAACATTTTCAATACTATAACATACTTACAGAATTAAACATGGCTATTTCTAGAAAATTTAAAAGAATTCAGAGATAAAAATATCTGGCTCTAAAGTATTTTTGGAAGTTCCTCTTTGATAATTGTTTTCAAAGTTTCTACTGTTACATGTCTATTTAGTTTTCAACTTCTCAATAATTTCTGGCATTTAATATTTTATTCAATATTTTTAATTTCCCTGAGATTTTCAAATATATTAAGGTACAATTATAGTAGTGTGCCTTTAATTTAAAAAACCTTTGTTGTTATATTCCATTTGTCATTTAAATTTTATTTATAATTCATCTTTGTTTTCTTGATTAAATTTGCTAAAGGCTTATCTATTTAATTCATCCCTCTGAAAAGAAACCTAGTTCTTGGTTTCAAATTATCTTGGATTATTAGTCATGTAATTTCATTCTTCATTTTTAATAATAAAATATTTAAGGTTATGAATTTATTTCTGAATATTATTCTCAAAGTTTTGGTAAGTCATGATCTCATTTTTATTATCATTTGCTAGTCTGCTAGTGTTTCTTTGTCCTAATATTCACGTATAAATGTGTTCTAAAATATTCAAGTAATTGAAGACTTTTAAATTTGTTTTTTAATTGTAAACACTACATTATCATCAGAGATTTCTGCTCTTAAGAGTTTGCAGGCTGGGCTTGGTGGCTCATGCATGTAATCCTAGCACTTTGGGAGGCCGAGGCAGGTGAATCACTTGAGGTCAGGAGTTCAAGACCTGCCTGGCCAACATAGTGAGAAACCCTGTCTCTACTAAAAATACAAAAATTAGTTGATTGTGGCGGTACATGCCTATAGTCCCAGCTACTTGGGAGGCTGAGGCAGAAGAATTCCTTGAACCCGGGAGGCAGTGGTTGCAGTGAGCCAAGATTGTGCCACTGCACTCTAGCCTGGGTGACAAAGCAAGACTGTCTCAAAAAAAGAAAAAAGAAAAAGAATTTGTAACGCTTTTCTTTGTGACATACATATGATCATTTAAAAATATTCTTTCAATATTTGAAGAATATATGAAGTCTATAAACAATTTTCAAAATGTATTAATTATATTAATGAATTGTTTTACAAATCTTCTAATTTCAGTCTACTTTATTGTCAGTTAAATTATGTTAAAGTCTCCCATACAGAATACAGATGTTTTTATCATTTTTTGTATTGCTGACAGTTTTTTTCTTTATATATTTGGATGCCATGATTTTTGCAAAAGAAATGGTTCATGAATATAATATCTTCAATATGGGTTGTATCATTAATCAATATAAAATGAACCTCTTGGGATCAATATGGTTGTATGGTCACTGTTCATGATTTTTTTTTTCCAAGTAGAGAAGTGACATGCTCAAATACCTATTTGGAGAATAGATTGATTAGGAAAAGGTGAGACTGAAAGCTGAGAAGCTGGGGGGAAGGCTCTTAGAATAGTTCAGGTGAGAAATGATGAGTGACTGGATTAAGACAAAGGCAACCAAGAGGTCTATAGCAGGTTAAAAACATCAAGACTTGGAATTAATTGGATTGGAAGAGGGGTGGGGTAAGAGAGTAGTTGAGGGTGATACCTACATTTCTGACTTAGCTGACCATTATCTAGACAGCAAAAAGGAGGAAGAGCTGGGTTGGCTTTTCAGAAGTGGTCATGTTCTAAAGTTCCTTCTGTTTATATTCATCCCCAGAGGACTCAAGTCCAGACCTAAAGCCCAGTGTTGGATCTTTGTCAGTTGATTGCTTACTCAAACCAATGTCTTTCTACCTGTATAAAACACTAGGCTGAATATTCACAAACTTTTGGATAATCACACTTCTTTTATGTGTTAAGAGCTCTGTCATAAATTTGACGAAAAATTTGGACTAAACAAGAGGGAATTAATTTCCAATACCGTGCCCAGGGTAGTCCACATGTGAAGGTTAAGTTTACCACAAGAGGGCAGCATCACCTAATAAGTTATGTCACTGAACGCCTTGACCAATAGGGGCTGAGATGGGGAGACTAAGAGGATAGACAATGTAGGTTCAGAAGCCATAGGACCTGCCACACCATGAAAAAAACCAAAGGGCCCTGCTATCTCCAAGGACATAATCATAGTCACTCCTAAGTGGCAGATGTTGCTACAATATGAAGAAACACCTGAACCCTCTCATTCTTGTGACTGGCTCAGAAAACACTCTAGATAGTGTCCACACTCCCTCTAAGTGCTGGTGTCTCTGTACAACCAGCATCTCACAGGGGCTTTTATTTTCTATTCAGATCTTTGCCACCCCTAATGGTTTCAGCACATCATTCTCTGCAGGTTAGGCTGCAAAGCACACCACCATTCTGATGCTCTCCCAATTTAACAATGTTTGGTTATTCCAATTATGCTTCTTTTAGGCCTTAAGGAAAGAAATGGGAATGAAATTCACTGACAACCCATTATGTTAAAGTTCTTTTATGTAAGTTATCTTATGTAATTATTGTGATAATGCCACTATGGAGGAATTATTGTTTGTCAGGTAAGAAACCTAGGAAGTTGCATACATGGAACTATCTAACTCCAAAACAAAAATGCTTCCAAATTCACCAAATTACCCCTCCAAGAAGCCTTATTTAAGACCTAAATCTTGACCAATCCAAGATAAAATCAGTTATAATGTGTCTGTTATATAAGGCATTACTTAACATGTCACCTCCTATCCATGTACATGGGCAGGTATGGATTAATCTTAGGTAGCAGCAGGTAATAGAAGTCAATGAGATCCTATATAACTTCATTCTTCCCAGGTCCGAAGCCTTTCCCTTAAATTGTCTCTTTAGGACAAATCATTTGGATATAGAACATGAGGACAATGGAAGAATTAAAGATGGCTTCTGTGTTTCTGGCATGGTTGACTGAGTACATACAAGGTGGTCTTGGTCACAGATAGTGATCTTGAGAGAAGATGATGATGTATTAGGTTTTGGGCATGTTGTGTTTCCAATACTTCTGACACATATAAGTATAAATGTCTAATAGGAAGTCGGTTATACAGTGTGGAGCATAGGAGATATATACAATAATTGAAGCTGTAGGGCTGGGTGAGATTTTCCAGAGCATATTAAGTTAAAAATGGTGGAACTACAGGAAACACCAACATATAAGGAATGGCCAGAGGAAGAGCAGGTAGTAAGGAGGCCGGTTTTTTAAAAATGGACAGAGATATAGGAAAAGAACAAGAAAACTGATTATCTTGAAAGTAAGAGGTTTGGCTAGGCATGATGCCTTATGCCTGTAATCTCAGCACTTTGGGAGGCCAAAGCGGGCGGATCACCTGAGGTCAGAAGTTCACAACCAACCTGGCCAACATGGTGAAACTCCATCTCTACTAAAAATACAAAAATTAGCCAGGCATGGTGGCACATGCCTATAATCCCAGCTACTCAGAAGGCTGAGGCAGGGGAATTGCTTGAATACAGGAGGCGGAGGTTGCAGTGAGCTGAGATCGCGCCACTGCACTCCAGCCTGGGCAACAGAAAAAAAATTTCTCAAAAAAAAAAAAAAAGAAAAGAAAAGAAAAATAAGAGGTTTTTTTAAAAAAAAAAATTGACATGTAATAGTTATACATATTTTGGGTGTACATGTGTCATTCTGATACACACATATAATGTGTAATAATGAAATTAGGAAAATTGGGATATCCATTCACTTGAAATAGTTATCTTTTCTTTATGCTAAGAACATATGAATTCTTTTCTAATAGCTATTTTGAAATATACAATAGATTGTTAACTATAGTTACCCTACCAAACTATTGAACAGTAGATCTTATTCCTTCTAACTGTATTTTTATACCCATCAATCAACCTCTCTACAACCTCCCCATTTCCCAGCTTCTAGTAACCACCAGTCTACTCTCAGTCTCCATGAGATCCTTCTTTTCAGCCCTTACATATGAGTGAGAACATGTAATATTTGTCTTTCTGTCTAAGCTTATTAATGACCTCCAGTTCCATCTGTGTTGCTGTAAATGACAGGATTTCATTCTTTTTTATGGCTGAATAGTATTCCATTTTATATATATATTCCCCTTTTTCCTTACCCATTTATCTACTGATAGATAATTAGGTTGATTCTGTAACTTGTTTATTGTGAATAGTGCTGCAATAAACATGGGCGTGCAGATATCTTTTATATGCTGATTTCCTTTCTTTTGAATATGTACCCAGCAGTGGGACTGCTACATCATATGATAGTTCAATTTTCAGTTTTTAGCAAAATCTCCATACTGTTTTTTATGGCAACTGCACTATATCACATTCCTACCAACAGTGTACAAGGGTTCCCCATTTTCCCACATCCTTGCCAGCACCTGTTATTTGTTTGTTTTTATAAAAACTATTTTAACTGGGATGTGATAATATGTCATTGTGGTTTTTACTTTCATTTCCCTGAAGATTAATGATGTTGAGCATTTTTTCATATGCCTGTTGGCCATTTGTGTGTCTTCCTTTAAGAAATGTCTATTCAGGTCTTTGCCCATTTTTAAGTTGGATTATTTGTGGTTTTTTGCTATTGAGTTGCTGTGTGAGATTTTTGGTATTGAGTTTCATAAAGGAAGGCAGAGGCCACAATCTAGAGCTATAATGTTAAATGCCATATATGATAAATATTAAAAATAACCAATTGACTTTGACAATTAGGAGATTATTTGTAGTTTTTGACAAAGTAGTTTCAGTGGAGTACTGAGGGTCAAATTCTGGTTGCAGAGGGTGGAAAGCCAAATGGCAGGTGGAGAATGGGGGACAGCGAACATAGACTCTCCCTTTGAGACTGAGTATGAACAAAAGGAGAAAGATGGAGCAGTAGCCAGAGGGAGAAGTGAGATTGTGGGAAGATGCAACATGGAAAAACTTAGGTGTGTATATAGGATAAAGGGAAAAAAAATAGAAACCAAGAGGACTGAGCTCCAATAATACAAAGCAAAGATGCAGCAGCAGAATGAAAGAAAGCCATGTGGAAAGCTCACCAACAGGCAGATGCTTTTGGTGGTAGCAGAATGACTGTGCCCAGATATGTCCTTCCCTTTCTTCTGCTTATGCTACTCCACTTACCTGCAATACCTTCCATTTCTGATAGTTTATTTTTCAAATTATACTCACCGTTTAGCTTCAATTTCACTTCCTTTATGAAGTCTTACCCCATCAATCCCCTCTGCAGTGATCTTTCTCTAATAGCAATTTCTGTCTGAACAATCCATTTGACAATCACACACAAGCCTTGATTGCCTCCTTTAAAAATATACTGTTACTTAGTCACGTGTGTATGTTTTCTCTCCTGCTAGACTGTGCACTCCTCAAGGACAGGGTTTCTAAGAGTTTGCTACAGCATCTGGAGTGCTTACCATGGCTTATTGTAGGGGCTCTTTAAGTCTCCATTGATATGTGGTTCAAGAATGATAGTGTATTATAAAGAAGGAGACTGAAAAACACTGGATTAGGTAGCCCTTTGGTATATGATGAGTAATTTAGTCCTCATTACAGCAAATAAGGAAACACTCTAGCAGAGGTCAAATAAATTTATCCAAGATTATATGTCTATGTGGCAGTGCCAGGATTTGAACCAAAGGCTCTTTCTCCTGTGCTATTCTGCTTCAGTCGTCTGCAAAATTCTATTCTAGTGAAACACCTCTTTCCTTTATAATATTGATAGAGACATGACTCTATTGAGCTTTATTACCAACGAAGTTTCAGTGGCCTCTGTGCCTTATGGAGAATCTCCCTATACCTTACCTCCTGACAATCAGCTTGAGAATCCGGAAGGAGCCTTTTATGAGAATGAGGGCCTCTTGGCGGGATCCATATAATGGAGTGCCATTGATATTCACCAGCTCATCACCAGTCCTCATCTTCTGGGACAAAGCTGCCTTGCCTCCATCTTCAATCTGTGTTGCAGAGAACAAAACAGAAAGCAGGTAGTGAGGCGACTTTCTCCTCAAAAATTCTACTTGTTTCTCCCAACCCTGGAGCAACAAGTAGTACTAAGGAATGGTTCCAAGCAGCTCCTGGAGGTAGCTCAGGAGCTGATGACAGGTTATTATTTACTGAAGGCAAAGCTGGGACAAACCTTTGAGGAAGGAGGCAACAGGGAAATAATGCAATCCCTGACTGGAGGAATGAGCACTCCATCAGAGAAGATTAGCACTTCTAAATAAGAAACTGATGCTTAGAAGGAACCCTACTGTGTGGCTAAAGCAGCAGCATGGCCTACCAAAGTGCAGACAAATTAGAGCCAGAAGAACTAGGCTCTAGCAAAATGGCCTTTGGCAAGCTCTTTCCTATCTGAGGGAAGGTTTTGAAGTCTGAAAAACATACGTTTGAATCCTGGCTCTGCTACTTCCTAGCTGTGTGACCCTGAGGAAGTTACTTAACATCTGTGTCTCAATTCCCTCCTATGTAACATGTAGATAACAAGACTAGCTACCTCATAGAGTCATTAGTATACTAAATATCTGGCAGCAGTAAGTCCTCAATTAATATGAGCTCTGATTATTATAACAATGAGGTTGACTCTAAAGACCTGGAAAGTGACTTCCAGCTCAACATTCTGTGAGTGAAATGGCAAATTCAAAAGATACAAGTAGGTACAATGTAGCTGCTTCTTTATCGGTGTCTCTTCAACACATGCCCAGCACAGTGCTTCTAGTGTCGACATAGACTGAGCATTCAGAGAAAGCTGGAAATATGGGTATTTACTGTTCCAACACAACCTATAGAATTTCCATTAACCAGGGTAATCTGGAAAAGAAGATTGTCAGACTGAGGGTATCAAAAGCAAAGGCAGAAATAATAGCCACTGGGGCAGGCAAAAGCAAAGCAAAGCAGAATGTTCCTTGGGGTCCTTGCTTCTGGCTAATTTTATACATTCATTTTTATTATATTCATTTTACCATGAAGGTGAATTATACCTATTGGAACATCAATTCCATCCTTTATAGTAGGAGTCATCTCATCCATTCATTAAGTATTTAAGTAAATCTCTCTTATGTACAGGACAACATGCTACATGCTAGAGATATAAAAATGAACAAGGCTCCTAACTTCTAGCCTCAGGGGTAGGTTACTGCCTACAGCTTATTTATCAACTGAGATGGTCAGGCGAAAAAGGGTCCAACTCACTGATGTAATCAGGAGTTGTTTTTGTTTGTTTCCAGGGAAAGGGGATGTAAGGATAATTAAATCGTATAGTCCTTAGGGGACGGAAGATTCTAAATGGGGCAACTAAGGGCTGGTATTCACTGGAAGTATTTTTACACTTCTACTCTTGTTCCAGTCTTTCTCTCATTCTTTTATAATGTCCCCTCAATCTATCCCCACACTATGGAAGTTAGAATATTGTTGAGCTTTAGGTTGGCCAGCTCATGTGCAATTTGGCAGATAAGACCTTCTGAGTGCAGAGAAAAATGTAAATTCAGAATTTTTAAAACTCCATCCAATAAATTGAACTTCTGAGTTAAATCACAGAATGTTATTATATTTATTGCCACTAATCCAACAGTTTTTTTTTTTTAATTAACCTTTGTCTGACAAATCATAGGTTAGCCAAGTGACATTGAATATATATACCTTTGTTCCGGTACCTAGGCCACACTCAAGACCAAACAAGCCAATATTGGTAAATGGGGAACAACTCTTAGCAAATTAATCAGGATTACACTCTTATTTCCGTTGTCATTATCATTATTACTTCACAGTCACTGCTGCCTGCCACCAAGAGGAAAAAAAAAGAGAGAGAGAGAGAAAAGGAAAGTGCTGTACTTGAATTTCAGAAGTTCTATTTGAATGACTCATTCCTTTGGCATCCATAGAAGGCCCTTAGCACCAGGCAGAACTTTCAACAGGGATCAGCTATTTGAAAGGGTTTCCTGAGGCTAACAAAGAATCACAAACAGAAGTCTAACTAATGAATGCTAATAGATTTTCCTGTTGATTAGTCTTAATTCCCTCTACATAGTCTTAATGCCCCCTACCCATTGTTTTTAATTCATACGACTTAATTATCCATATTACTGTTACCAAAAGCAAGTCTTACCCTCAACATGTATTGATATTAAGTACCATCTTTGGTTAATTAAACACTCTGTTACACCAGTAAGATCTCTGTTTATACTACGCAAGAAGACGAAAGGGGGAAACCTTTTAAACTAAAATGCTTAATTATTGCTGTAGCAAAAGCTAAGGCACTTGGCATTCTTTACTGCTACTAAAGCTGCCACTAAGTCCTTGCACAGACTCTTTCTTGGACTATAGCATCGTGCCAACTGTTCATGCCCCTATTTTCTGTTCCATGCCCCTTCTCAGTCACCAGCATCCTCCTCAGGAGATATGTTAAGTGAAATAATGCCACTTTAGTATAAGTCTGAAGATGCTTAGACAAAAACCCAGCAAATTTTGGGTCCCCAGCATAATCCAAGAATTTGAATGGATCAAGATCAGGAAGTAACACTCCATTTGATTGAAGATCCCTTCAACTATACCCCAGACTAGCCCTTTTCCAGACCCAGGGTATTTACCGAGCTGTGCAATGGACTCCATACTCTTCCAGACTTTTTGGTCCTTTTTAAATTACTGCTCACTGGTCTTTCTCCTTCCCCCTCTACTTCTAGATTTCTGAGATCTAGCATGTCTTCTATTTATCGTTTGGCATCCTGACAGTCAGTTCTACAGGTCAATGTCTCAGCTACATATTTATTTACATGAAAGACAAAGCAGATGTTCATGTTTCTATCAATAATAAAAAAAAAGGACAGAAAGGAAGGAAAAACAAATGAGAGGAAGGGAGAAGGAGGAGGGAGGGGGAAAAGAAGATATGTATATTCTATAAAAGGTTTTGTTTCCCCTTCCCCCAACCTCCTCCTAACTGTGGCTGGGGTCCCGGAAATGTGTGAATAAACAAACTTATTGAAATTAACATACCCTGTTTGAGGGGCTGTATAACAATATATGATGCTATCCATTCCGTAAGGCTGGTCAGCTTTCCAGCTCTTCCTGCATCAGACCTTCAGGGTGGCTTTCTTGTTTCAGTTGAAGTGTTGTGAATTTTCAGATTAGACCCAGATGCATTGGAATGTCAGTGTAAACACACATCACAAAGCTCAATGTAAACGATGGTTAACTTATGTGTCATTTTGGATTATCCAAGTGATCGCGGGGCTAGCAGTGAGTGGCCCAAGTAATTGAAAATTGATTACACAGAGGTCATATAACCAAAAGCCAGGTGGTACCCGGAAAGCTAGAAAGAGCTGATTGACTTTGGACAAGTCCCTTTCCCTTCTTGCTGCCTCTCTTCTCTTGCTGGTAAAATGTGTAAGAGGGCCTGACTAGATGATCTCTTGGGGCTCTGACAGCTCTGGGCCTTTTCAGCTCTGACATTCAGTGACCTGTGAACAGTTAGCAAAGTCATGCATTATCCTTTTGCTGACACAGATAATCTCAGCTTTTTGTCCCATTGTACTCTGCCTTCACCCCTGTTTCACTCCTTCAAAATTGACTAATTAACATCCATCTTTCAATTCCCCTGGTCTTTATCCATTGTTTCAGAGTGGTCCACCAAGGTTGGAACACTTAATAAGGCCCAGTCAGGACACTGAAAGAAAGAGATTCCTGAAGCCCTATTTTGTGCTAATGAGCTAGTGATTTGGAAATTTTTGATGGGTCTTCAATGAAGCATGAAATGCTCTGATAGCTGTCAACAAAGTGACAAGTTGGCCCCTTGAGAGTAAAGAAAAAGAACAATTAACAGCACTTGCTGGCTTTCTAGTAGCTTTTATTTAGTCAGATACTAACAGATACTTGCTTGGGTCTTTTGAATAAATTTAGGAGATGAAAAAGTAAAGAAAGATTTATTAAATCAGGTTTGTAATTTAAAAATTCATTCAGAGGAGAAGCACCATCTGCAACAATAACTGATCGGTACTGAACACCTATTACAGTAGTGTGAGAGCAGCATTAAAAATCAATGACATGATTGTGAATACCTCTGCTTGCTACAGGAAATTTACTGGAAAAAAATGGGCATCAACTGAAACTTTCTTAGTCAGTTTCAAGAGCTTCTGGCCAAATTACCAGCCCATACTCCTACCTCCACCAGCTTGTCTATTATCTAAGAAGGCAAACAACATAATTGTTTAAATTGATTTTTTTTTTTTTTGCAAATAGACAGAAAAGGTTCACTCAGAATACAGTAGTCCAATTGTTTAAAGAAAGAATATAGCCTCTGAAAACCTTTTTAGCATCTTAGAAAGATTTTTAAGTTTTTAGTAACACTCCAGACAGCTGTTCATCAATTTGGCCTTTTCTGGGAAATCAATAGAAAATGTAGAGATAGAGATAAGCTGGCTTTTTGGGAAGTTTATTAAGAAGCAGAAGCATCAAAGAATGAATACGGTCCTTGCTCATTCTGAAACTTAGTTTGAAATCTTAAGCAAACCACAGGTTGGGGGCTGTCTGTTTCTAATCTACCCTCTTTTTCGTTGTTGGTATCTCTTAGAATCTGATCATGCTAGGAGAAATTGATCTGGGCTCCCTGGGCATGGGAGATACAGGCTTTCAAACTTCGGCAGTCTTCTTGCCATGGGTTTCAACACTTAACTTGTCTCTCTCAGCATCTTCTTCCCATAAAAACTTCTCTCAAGTTTCCGAAGCAGTCTTTATTAGAAAAACAAGAAACTCTGTTCCTAATTTCATCTGTATTTTACACCAGTTTTCCAAAAGGCAAAACAGACAACAAAACCTTTTCTCTTAAATGAGAATTAAAAAACAATAACCAATTAAAAAGATGTAAGTAGACCTGATTCAAAGCAGTAATCCCTACCTGTAGACAGAGGGAAGAGGTGGACACCAAGGGAGAAGCCATTGTTTCCCTCTACCAGCTAATAAGCAGATGCCCAAATCCTACAAGGAGCTTCCCCAGAGTGTAAAGCTCTGTGAATCAGGCCTAAGGGCTCCCCTGACCTTGAGCCAATGGAACTATGTTACGCCCCACAGCATGACCTAGCCCAGCAGACAGCTCCTTCCTCCCCAGCTGCTTAATCACCTTCTAGTTTACTAATCCTCACAACAAAGGCCCTCTAAGCTCCAAATCATTAAATTTCCCTGGGGATTAGCTCCAGTCAAATTCTAAGCATCTTTGCCAAAAACTCAGTCAGCCCAGTGCCAAGCTCAGCTCTAGGAATTTGGTGATGAGGACAGGGGAAGAAGACTCAGGAGCACTGCCCCTATGTCATCAACCAAAGGCAAATTTTTCTTTGCTCCTACCAAGTCAGATCGTCCTGCTGTCTCTAAGCCTGGTAAGGGGAGACAAACATGATGGTACAAGAGAAAACTGAGAGTCTCTTACATTGCGTCTTATATTGCTAGCAGATATGCTCACTGGGGTTCTGTCAACTCTAGCCATTTGTTTACACTAAAGTCTTCTTCTGACATTAATGCTATCAGTGTTTGTCACAAATGTTAGTCTTTGGTGGTATAGAACAATAGTGTTCAGAGTGGGGTATATATACCCCAGGCTGTGTACAACATGATCCACTGGAACTTCTGTTTATATATTGAGAAAAAAAAAAATTAAAAATCAAGCCTTATTTAATATTGGTGGTAGAAAATTAGATCTTCCATAAATAAAATTGTGTAGACTGGGGACACATACTCAAAACATTTTTGCTGATGTACATTTTTACTAAAAATGTTGGCTGGATTACAGACCTAATAAGAAGACTAAAATTATAAGGCTTTTAAAGAATAACATGGAGCATATCTTTGTGGCCTGGGATGGGCAAAGATTTTTTGGAGCAGGATGCAAAAGTAGTAATCAAAGGAAAGAGTGATACTTTGGAGTTCATCAAAATAAAAAATCTTCAGCACTACAAAAGGGAAAAGACAAGCCTCAGACTGGGAAAATATTCATAATACTTATTACCTGAAAAATGACTTATATCCAGAATATTAAAAGAACTACAAATCAATAAGAAAAAGGCAAACACCAATTAACAATTGGCAAGGCTTGAACAAGCACTTCACTAAAGAAGACAGCCAAATACCCAATAAGCATTGAAAAAGGTGCTCAATATAATTCTTCATTAGGGAAATGTGATTTAAAATTACAGTACAATGTCACTACCGATCCACCAGAATGCCTAAAATTAAAAAGACTAAAAATACTAAGTATTGGTGAGGATGTACAGCAATTTGATCTCTCTACATTGCTGGCAGGAGTATAAAACTGTACAACCATTTTGGAAATCTGCATACCTACTCTCAGATCCAACAATTACATACCTAGAGACACTCAAGAGAAATAAGTGCATGTGTCCATTAGAAGATTTGATTGTTCACAGCAGCTTTATTCATAACAGACAAAAAGTAGGAACAAGCCAAATGTCCTTCAAAACATACACATACAAAAAATGACATGCTATACATCAATCAAAAAGAATATATGCAATAAAATAAATGAATGTCAAAAAGAGATTATATTGCATGAAAGAGACCAGACAAAAACAATACATACTATATGATTTCATTTTATATGAAGGTTAAGAACAGAGGTGGTAATTCTGAATAAATGGTTAACTCTGTAGTACTGATTGTAAAGGCACATGAGCATAATTTTTAGGGGGTGCTAGAAATGTTCTACATATTTATCTGGCTGCAGATTATATGGGAATATACATATCAAAATATTCATTAAAATTTGTGCATTTTACTATATGTAAACTATTCCTTAACTTAAGATATAATTTAAAGAATAAAGTCCTCTAGACTCTTCAGCTTATATTCCTGAGGTAGGGACCAAGACTCCAACATTATTTTCACATACTCATAGTTTTAATCAAGGCAAAACATTTCTCTTAAAATGTTAGCCTTCACAATAGGGCTATAATCTATGAATCTGCCCATTGTTCCTCTCTGCTTTGAGATAGTATTCATCCTCCCTACCTCTTAGAAGGTGGAGGATTTCAGTAGAAAATGAAAATGAAGACCAACTCTTTATTTTGACAGTTGACAGGTAAAAATGAAACGTCTTAATGATTTGATTCCATTTTTAATTTCTAGCCAATTTTTATCTTGACATATTATAAAAATAGAATCAATTCCTCATCCAATGTTTGAGCCATCTACTGCTACTCCTCTTGTCAATCTCAGATATGTTTCTTTCTTATAGTTCCCAGAGTTCATGATACTTACTCCTAGAAGCTGAACTTCATCAGGCCACTGTCACACAGTCAACTAGCTTTTCTTAAGATAACATTACTGTCCCTAATATGGTTAGGCTCTGTTTTCCCACCCAAATCTCATGTTGAATTGTAATCCCCATGTGTGGAGGGAGTGACCTGGTGGGAGGTGATTGGATTATGGGAGCAGCTTCCCCCATTCTGTTCTTGTGATAGTGAGGGAATTCTCCTGAGAGCTAATGGTTTTAAGTGTGGCACTTCCTTGTGCTCACTTTCTCTCTCTCTCACACCTGATGCCATATAAGACGTGCCTTGCTTCCACTTCACCTTCCGCCATGATTGTAAGTTTCCTGAGGCCTCCCCAGCCAAACATGTGGAACTGTGAGTCAATTAAACCTCTCTTGTTTATAAATTGCCCAGTCTCAGGTAACATCTTTATAGCAGTGTGAGAATGAACTAATGCAGTCTCTGTTAGATTGCCTATGTGTCTTGGCTGTCTAATAAGATATGACTTTCAGTGACACAAATTATCAGAGAACCCTGCAAAACTGATGTGGTGGGGAGAGTTCAGGGAGAACCAGTGTGGAAGAAACTGGAGGAAAGAATATGGTAGAGTGCAAGTGAATTTGCTCCTGACTTCCAGAAGCAGTTGTCGGCAACAGAGTTTATTCTTGTGTAGTATTAAAACAGTCTAGGACAAACCAGAAAGTCCATAACGTCCTTCAGCATGAAGAGAGGACTGTGTGCAAATCTAGCAGGCAAGCCTTCGGAGGCTGAAAAGACTAACAGTCTTTTACCTACCACCTAACATAAAAACACTGTAAAGAGGACATATGGATTTATTGTCATTTTCAAACTGTGCATTAATACTTGTAAGAAATGCCCAAATTAAAACAAGAGGTATGTTAAATTTCACCAGATTACTAGAAAGTGATGGGAGTAATTCTACTTGGATTCATATAATCTTTATTTCTTCAGTATCAACCCATTGTTGATGTGAAAACTATTTTTCAAAGTTGATCAAAAATGCATTTTTAACTTGCCTGCTGAATGTGAATGTGTTAGATACAGTCTTCCAGCCCAAGAGGATGTGATTAACTATCTGGAATCTGAACCATCCCAAAGCCAGGTTCACTCAATAACTCATTGCTGGGTCCCTGAAGCCATTTATTTATAATCCATTATGCAAAAAGCCAAAGACAGTTTCTAAAGAGTACATATACCCAACATTAGTCATTTCTGACTGGAAAAAGGACCCAGAGACTAAATACCCTTCATAAGAGGGACAAAAGACTGCCTCTGGAAACTACTAGTCCTGCTTTGTTGCCTGGAAACCACTTGTCCAGCTTACTAAGAGCCTGTATACCCTCCAGCAGATGTGGATGAAAGGAGAGGGGATCTGCTTTCTATTTTCCAGAGGTGGGCACCTGCATGCCACCGCCAGAACATTGTTTGCTCCTGCACAGGCCCCCTTTCCTCGGCAGTAATTTTAATCTCCGGTCTTCACTTAGCCCTCTGACTAGTGGGAGATGAAGGAGGAGAAAAGAGATTTAACTACCTCTTATCCTTTTGAATAACTGCTACTAAAGCAAACAGCTCCCAAAGAAAAAACCTACCAAGGTATACATGTATGTTGCAAAAGCAATAATAATAATAACATCCTTTATTGAGCCTAGGATAGATTCCACTTCATATTAAATCAGCACACTTGCTGCTGCTTTCACATAGTGCTGCAAATCTGGGAACAAGTGAGCCATCACACAGTCTTTCCAAGCTACTGTCCTGTTCACATCATGACTGAGAAATGACACACCATCTCTCTCCTCCTTAACAAAATGTGCCAAATAACATAAAACAAAACTGAGTTTCCACAACTGAAAAAAAAAGAGAGAAAAAAGAATGCACTCAATTGCTTATGTTAGTGGCGGGAAGGGACTGTTACATCAGAGATTATTTCCTTTTGCAATGACGGAATTAGTGTGAGAAGAAAATGAAGGAGAAAGTGACAGGCATTTGAGTTCAAGACCTGGAAAATCAATAAGGCAAGCAATTTGAAAGCCATTCTCTCTGGTATCAGACCTGCTTTTTAAGTTAAGGCTGGATAAAAAGAGAGGACCAGATTTTTAGCTTCAGTTCCTGCTCATTCTCACTTTTCTAACTTTAAACAAGGGTACAGTCCTCCCCCTTCTCCTATAAAGGTTGATCTCTTCTGATAGCAGACTCCACAACCTTGGCACTGAGGGTGTTCCTCACAGTCAAGGTCACTCTGCTGCTTTTCCTCCTCCCTCAAACTTTTTCCAACACTCCCTACACATTCTCTTTTCCACTCCCACCTCTCCCTGCCCCGCCAACCAGGCATTTGAGCTTGCCTTCTTTACTTCATCTTCCCCTTCTGCCCCGCTACCCCACAACCAGACGCTTTCCTTGGGTTTCCTATTGGCAAACTTCAAACCTCCCTATCATTAACATCTGGTACTAACATTCATTAATTAAATCAGACATACCAAAGAATGATTCTTATAATGTAAATAGCAACAGATCAGAAGCTCTACATGATCTGGCCGTGCATGCCTTTTTGACCTTATTTCCCACAACCTCTCATCCCCTACACACACGTACACATACATACACACACACACTTCATAACAAACTTTCTGTTCTTCAGAGAGGTCAAGCCCATCTCTATCTCAAGATCTTTGTACTTGCTGTTCTATCTGTTGAGAACATTCTTCTTCTAGATCCTACATAGCTCCTTTCATCATTCAGGTGTCAGTCAGATCTTGCCTCCTCAGAGGGGCCTTTCCTGACCATCTATATAAAGAATGTTCCCTCTCTTCTTTACCAACATCTCATCACTCTCTATCACATTATCTGTTTTACTGTCTTCATAGAATTTATTACTATCTTACATGATCTCATTTATTTCTGTGTATGTTTACTTGCTGTCAAGATACATTATAGTGTGAGAGATAGTCAGTGCCTTTTTACAGCTCTGTCACTGGCACCTAGGAAAATAAATGTCTGTATTGAACACATTGTAGTTGCTCAATAAATATTTGTTGAAATTAGAATTAGAAGGGATCTCGGAATATCACCCTATTGATTTGACTGATTCTGCAGAAGTAACAATATTTTCACTTTGTTTTTCATATTACTGAGTTTAGGGATAGTATATGACTTGCCCTGCATAGAGAATCTATTAGGTTTAAGATATTTTCTTCTGCAAGGTTGTGACAAACCTTTTTGTTTTTCATGGGTATATTGCTATTCATGATCCTTAAATAGCAATACAAACAGTTCTTGCTAAAGAGGCACTTTAAGCTTTGTAAAAAGCATTATTATTATTGGCTCAGAATATTCCAGAATAATTATCATTTGAGCTAAACATCCTATTTGTCATGAGACGCCCCAAGGTGAATGTTAGACTATCAATTTAGTGGAAGGAATGGAGCCTTTAAGGAAACTGATGTGTATGACAATAATAACTTGTATCCAGATATGATTCTCCTCAGTTTTTAACATTCTCTGACTTAGGAATTTAATTTAAAACACACACAAGCCCTTACAAACAGACCATGAACACTGGAATATTTAACTACTCCCAGCATCTGGGAATTCAAAGTAACATCGACTCCACCTTCGTGTGTACAGACATTACAACAGGCTCTTTCAGTTCACCATCCCTGAAAAATTTAAGAGCAAATCCAGATGATGGGCATAAACCAGACTCTAATTTAATTTAGTGCTTCATTAACCAGTGCCCTCAGACCCCTAAAAAGGTATGTGTGGGTTGGGGGTAACCCTCATCAATGTCCAGATGAGAGTTCACCCTGACCCAATTTCATTCGACTATAGTTCCTTCCTTAATAACCATTTGTTCAGTGGGTTTAGCATTTTATATCTCTGTGAGTTAGTGATTATACCTTTGTGAGGCTTTTCATATAAACAAATTCATAAGTCAGAAAATAAATCCTTTGTCAAGCCAGGTTTTCTAATTGGGATTTAGAAAATATGGCCACCATGATATGGCTTTAAAAAGTTTAATATCTGTAGTGTGCATTCAGTACTAATGGACAATAAGTGATAGTGAAGTTTTGTCAGGTCTGATTCAGATTACCTGTGGCTGCTGTGAGTTATATGGAATTACACAGAGTTTAATGGTTTTCTGGCAATTTGCCTTGGCTCAGGGCCAAGGCAGCTAATGCTGCAATCAAACTGCTCTCCCCACCCCTACCTCAAGACATTTTCAGTTTGTAAGTCTTAACTGTATCTGTGATGAAGCCTTCAATGACATTCTCATACAAATGCCAAAGGTTTTTTTTTTTGTTTGTTTGTTTTTTCCTCTGTCTCTTTCTCTTCCTTCTACTTTATGGCTGCATATATTAAGTGCTCCTGTAGCTTTGCTGAGACCAACTGCCTGGCTGGTGTTTATAAAGAGAAGAGCTTTTAAGGATTGATTAAAACAGAGGAGCCAACAGGTAGAAGATGCGAACAGGACAATATCCCTTTTCTCTGCAGTGCCATCAGATACATCCAATTCACCCTGACTGACTAACAGGGGCCCTGGACCCACCCTGCAGGGCAACTTAAGACAGCAGCCTTCCCAAATCACTTGAGTAATAAAAGAACATATCCCATCAAAGGCAGGTAGCCTACCTGACAAAAAGAAGAATCCCATGCATGGCAAGTTATCCTGCTTCCCTTTAGGATCCCAACTGGACCTGAAGCTGGGATTCTGCCACAGATTGCTGGCATCACTTTCACAGAGTTGAGACCGTGGACAAAGGTCAAGTGAACAAATGCCAGAGATGTCCTTTGCAAACTTGCAGAAAAGTCATGTACAACTTTGAGGTACAACCGTTCTGCAGATAGCAAATATTTTGGGGTCAAACTCTTTCATTAATCACTGCTCACCCCTGTCCCCTCAACCTCTCCTAAAATCACCAGTGGTGCTTCAGCATTAGCACCTCCTGCTATTTGGCCAAAGTGACGCCTCGACCCTTTGTCCAACTGATTCCAATGTCACATTTACTGGCTATTCTAGAGAGAATGCTCATTGTAAGAGACTAGCTGCCATAGAAGCAGCAGGAGGGAAGGGCAGAAACCACAGGATTCCTACTTTGCGCTGATTGCCACTAACTCATTTCAGCTGCTAAAGGGAGGCCCCGTTGGGGGAGCCAGGAAAGGAAATGGGTTCCATGTACAGTCCACTTTAAATTGTTCACAATTGCGTGCTCAAAAATAGTCTCTACTAAACATTTAGCACAGCCATTAGCACAAGCCATAAAGCTTTAGGCTTTGCTATACTGTTCGCCCAGGCTGCATAAGCTGCTTTCCTATGGCAAAATGATTAAATGGTTGGCAATTCAGATATATGCAAGAAGGATAAAGGAGCTCCAAGGATGGTTAAACCTGGACCCTGGTTTAATATGACTTCTAAGCATATAAAAAATTTAGAGGGAAGGACCAGCTGTTCTCAATTTTGATTGAAAGCAGAGCAAAGGAAAAAAAAAATGACATTGCAATGAGAGGGGCTGATATTAGCAAGGAGGAAGAATTTCCTGCCAGGGAAAATAGGTAAATATTAGACTGAGTGGTCAGTCAATGAAGGTTGTGGAATTTCCTTCTTCGGAATGGCTCTCCTGTCTTTGCTATTTCTGTGTGGTCCTTCCAGAGGGGTTGGGGACGGAGTAAAGAGAGGCAGCCAGAGGTCCAATTTACTCCCTTTCAGCACTCAAAATCTCTTATTTGCAACATTCCAGCATCAGTAACAGGGTCACTGGGACACTTGAAAAGAAAGAAGCAATGAGAAGCTTACTGGTGATCTCAAATGTTTAGATTCACCCCAACTTTCTATCTCTCACAGTGAGCCAAGCTTTTGCCCTGGCCCCCACAATCCCAATAAAGCAAGCAAAGACTTGCTTTTGGCTCCACAGGTCCCCTAGGCCATGCATATGGGAACAATATTTTCTGAACCCAAAAGAGGACATGGTCTGACAATTATATTTATGAGGACAAAAGGATAGAATATGTGAAATCAGAGCTGTCCCATGAAATCTGGGTGTATGGTCTCCATAGCCACATATTATCTTTTCTGAGGGTCCCAACAGAGAAGGGAGTTAATTAAAACTATGCCATGTGGTTTGGGGCCTAGATTCTTTTCCTGTGTGCAGCAAGATCATTTAGGACTGTGGAAAGCTAGGGTCATAATAAGCCTACTACAAACTGAAATTCCTGCTGTACAGATTGGAGAAAGAGGTAGTCTATGTGTCCTTCCTAGAATCGCTTCACTCTAAAATGTAGCTGGAGCTAAAGGGCATGCTCGTTTTCACTGAATCATAAATAATGCCATATTTGTAGAGGGGAAGAAATGTGGTCTGGCACAAGGGATCTTATTTATACATTAATTCAGTCATTAGAGGAGTGGTTCTCAAAGTGTGGTACCTGGACCAGTAGCATCAGCATCTCCTGGGAGCTTGTTAGAAATTCAGGACCCACTCTAGGTCAAATGAATCACAAACTCTGTGGGTAAGGCCAGTGATCTGTGTTTTAATCCCTCCAGGTGATGCTGATGAATACTACGGTGTAAAAATCCCTGAATTAGAAGTTTTCCTGGTGATGCTCACGTTGCCAAGCAGCAACAATAATATTAACCAAAAGAATCAATGTCACAGGTATGTTTGGTAGGGACAGGCACTAGCCCATCAGTATCAATACTAATTTAGCCTATAATAACTCTCACAGATTTGTCAAACAACATAAAACTACCAATCCACCCAGAAATCTTACTACGCAGTATATATCCAAAAGAAAATAAATTGATCTACCAAAAAGACACACTTGTATGTTCATTGCAGCACTATTCACAGTAGCTAAGACATGGAAACCACCTAAGTGCCCATCAATGGTGGATTAGATAAAATGTGGTACATATATACCATGGAATACTACACAGCCATAAAAAGAATGTGTCCTTTGTAGCAACATGGATGCAGCTGGAAGTCATTATCCTAAGCAAATTAATTCAGGAACAGAAAATCACATACCACATGTTCTCACTTATAAGTGGGAGCTAAACAATGGGTACTCATGGACATAAAT